CAAACTCAAATATCATCCAAAACAAGGGGTGCAAAGTCAAATTCTCCCTTATTTAAACTGGAAGTAATTGCAATACTACTTGTAAATAAACTGGAAGTAAACTGGAAACATCAAATACACAGACTAAACATAATAATGCACTAAAAGTAATTATGACATTATATTCCTCAATACTTATATTCTAAGCCAAAAAATATAAATACTCGTGTATTGAAACTGAAAATGCGCAAAACAGCACAAATATAATTATACCGCAATCTCTTGAGCTCGTGGACCACTCCATTCATTAGTTCCTTTTTTTTGAAACCCGTCTTTGAGAAGCTCAGTAGCCAGCGGTGTCCTACCCAATTGCACAGCCTGTTTAAAAATATATAATCAATAACTCATTTCACACCGCCTAATTTAATATAAATAGTACCTTAAACGGAAAGTCAGCAGTACTCCACCCTAAAATCCCAGCAGTACTCCAGCCTGATAGCATCCCGTATGCAGGAAAGTCACTAATTGTCAACATTAAAACAGCTCGCATAGAAAACATTTCATTTTTAGCCACGTCATACGTTCTAGAACCCTCATCCCAAAGATGTTTCAACTCATCAATAAGCGGTTGTAAATAAATATCAATTTTTCGTTTAGGACACATCGGACCAGGAATAATGAGAGATAAGAACGTGTATGGAGATTTCATGCACATACCAGGAGGAAGGTTGTACGTCGTGAGAATAACTGGCCAACATGAATACGATGCACCATACTGCCCGTGTGTAGCAAATCCATCAGAACACAATGCCAATCGAACGTTACGTGGATCTGAGGCAAAGTCGGGATATAAATTGTCAATGTGTTTCCACGCCTCACTATCAGAAGGATGACCCATCAAATTTCCAATTGATTCATGAGTAGAATGCCATATCATGGACTCAGCAGTTTGGCGTGATGCATATAATCTTTGCAGCCTCGGTGTCAAAGGTAGATAACGTAATACTGAAATAGCAGTTCGTTTCTGTCTTTTTGACTGACAATCCTGATATGCATCATATGTGTAACGTTTCTCACCACAAAATGTACACACTTCCAACTTTTTATCATTTTTCCAGAACAACATACACCCATTAGGACACGCGTCAATCTTCACCACAGGAAGACCTAATTCAGCCACAAGTTTTTTTGTCTCATAATAATTTCTAGGAACAGTGTTGTCACGGGGTAAGTATCGACCAAATAATTCCAGCCACCGATTGACTTCATCTTGTGGAACATTAAAATCGGATTTGATACTCATTACTTCAGAAACAAATTGCAATTGGGAGCCTTCATTACAACCTTCATACAAAGGCTGATCTGCAACTTGCAAAACATTTTGAAAATGATCCGCCAAGTATGATATGTCATCTTCATTTGGTGATTCATCTCCTCTTTGTTCTCCACAATTAGGATCGTAGTTTGTGGAGTTTATCGTCACGTGTCCTCCGAAAATGTCTTCTAACATTCTTTGACCCCATGGTGTCTCATCTTGACTCCCTGAATATGCTCCATGAACATTTTCGGTAGTATGTTCATTTGGGGTTTGAGAATTCAAAAATGTCGAACCTTGTAACAATTCTCCATGAGAAGTCCACGTTTCATAACCGGCAATAAATCCATGTCTAAAAAGATGAAGCTTTACTTCCTCAATAGCATGAAATCGTCGATTACCACACTTCCGACATGGACATCGAATTTCTTCTCCGCCACTAAATTCATGTTGAAGACGAGCGAATTCAACAAAACATTCAACACCATTCATGAAATTTGCAGAAACATTTTTTGAAATTGGATCGTATCTATCGTACATCCAACTTCTATCTATCATATACATTATAAAAGTATAGAGACGAAACCAAGATTTAAAAAAAATAGTTTAGGAAGATGAATGGGAGGTGCCTATTATCTTGGCAATTGAAGTGCAATATAAATGGAGGAGGGCCGCAGGGATAAGGTTTGATTCAAATTGATTTCTCCAAATAATTGTCGGTGAGTTTAAAAAATATCTATTCCCTACGGAATTCCAACGAGTTTCCGACGGATTCGAAACAGCTTTCCAATCCCTTTGCAACCGAGTTCCGACGGATTGCACCCGAACTGGAAGCCAAATACTTCCAACCGCTTTCCTACGGAATCCCGACGAATTTGTAAATGCTTCCCCACAGATTTCCGACGGATATATCCGTAGCAGGGCTAAATAAATTCCTACGCCATTCCCACCGAATCCCGACGTCATCCGTTAGAACTCCGTCCGAAGTTCGTTGCAAATTTGCCACCACTAAATCGGTTGGAAAACGTCCGTCGGTAATGGGATGCTCTTTTGTAGTGCATAGTGGCTCGAAGCTGAAGAATAAGGAAAATGAGAACTAAATTTGGTGATGAACCTAATTTCTTCGTAAATAAATTATAAAGAAAAGAATAATCTTATTCTTCTTAGTATTCTCAAATAAAGAAAATGAGAACTTAATTATAAAACACATGCTCGCTGAATTGTGTAATAATCATAATAAGTAAAGTTGAAATTATTTATGTGACTAGATTGATTGCAGTAACAATAAACGATTATTTTTAGCTATTTTCATATTCCGTATAGTTTTTTCTTGATTTTATTAATAAAATATATTTTATAAAAAATCAACATATTCAGCTAATTCAACATTTGAATCAAAATTTGATCGATTTCAACAGGTTCCTCAAAAATGAACTCTTGAACTCAATAAAAAAAACAAACCGATGTATAGTGGGAGATTATTTAGGGAAAATGGAAACTAATAATCCAATCTTTTAGCAGTCTTCTTACAATAGTCCCACCTATTATTCATGAATAATCCAATCTTTTCACCTCATCTTCATTCACTGGTCCCTGACCGGTTTATGACCTTTTATTCCAAGTTATTTTATTATCTTTGTAAAACATTAAACCATAATTCCCACTTTATGATCACATAATGTTTTGCAAAGATAAAAAAATAACTTGGAATAACAGGCCATAAATCGTCCAGGGACCAGTGAACGAAGATGAGGTGCAAAAGTTGGATTTTTCATGAATAATCAAAAGATGGTACTATTGTAAGAAGACCGCTAAGAGGTTGGATTATTAGTTTCCATTTTCCCGATTATTTATATCCAAATGAACGATGTGCGTCCCAAATAAGAGTTTTATGTGCTCAACAAGTCATGAATTTTATAAGTGTATTTCACATTCTTCCTAGAACTTTTTTATTGCAAAAAGAAAAACTTCCTGGAACTTTTTGAGTTTCTATGCAAAGTTACGCATTAACATTGTTAGTTTAAGCCAAAATGATTTTCAATTACAAACTTGTCAAAGGCAATTGCAAAAGGTGAAATTCAAATAATTTTGGTGGTTCTATAATAATAATCTCTACTGAAAAAGTCAATACAAATAATCCAAACTCGTAAATGCGTTTACATAGATAGAATAAACCTTCGTAGATAGATTCTTATCCTTCAAGAAAATAATTATAGTAATGATATGAAAAAAATTAAACTCAAATTTATGACAACGGTGAACAAAGTTAATATTATATCCTTATATATTAAATATAAAAAAAGATTAATTTAATGTATCTATGTAGACGTGTTTATGAGTATGAATTATTTTTATAGACATCTTCAGTAGGGATTATTATTATGAAACCGCTAAAAGTATGGATTATTGATATGCGATACTTTAGGCGAATTATTAGAGAAAAAAGTTGGGGTCATTTCACCAAACATAGTTTTAACTTTTAAGCATAAATATTAAATAAACTAGTCGTTTGAAACATTAATGTTTAGTGGATGGAAATATGTGATGGGTATAAGTGCTTTAACATCAATATGTTAATCCACGCAGGGAGCAGGGGCTTCGCTGATTCTTGACCCTCACCCAACTCCATTAAAACTTGTGCATATGCCACTTCTTCTTCCACATTTATCTCCTTTCCTGCTGGTGTAATTTTTTTCAGTTTTCATATTCAACCCACCTCACTAATGTTTAAGTCTAGTGTAATTATAGCCAAAACAAAGTCTAGTGGAATTGCTTTCCATTCCTGAATCTGCCCCTGATTTCCCAGTCCCTTAAAAGTTCATATTTCTTGTAACAGTTCCAAAACCATTCCACTAATACTAATCTGACAAAGACAATTACTGGATATATATTGCAAGTATCCGTGAAGAGTTTAATTAGAGCCATTTGGCAAGGATGAGTTTCGTTTCATTTTTCCGTATAAAAAAGATTAGCGTACTGCGGGTGATTTTCTTTTTAACCGTTTCTTCCCTTCTTCTGCAAAAGGTCGTCCTTTTTTCTCCTTTCTGTTTCACGTACTTGAGCTAGTACGTACGATAGTTGCAGTTTGTTATGAGGTGTCTGTAACTTAATAGACAACATTAGTACAGGCCGAGTCAAAGCTAAGAAAACATAAACTTTGTGTTCCTAAAAAGAAATGTTTATAGAAAGCGATGGCTGGCGGCTATTTATGTTGTGATTCCACTTTGCCAGAAGCTGGGGTACTTACTTCCTGAAGATTATGGGTCCCCTCAAAACCCTATCTTCTGCATGAAAGAAGAGGAGGAAGAAGAAGAAGAAATTCAGCAATCAGCATGGACATGGAGTTTCATCAGCAGCAGAATCTTGAAATGGAACAGTGCTATAATGAGAGTGATAATCCCCACCACTTTACCCATAATTGGGGCTTCTCATTGCACCATCAAACTCTTCCTGCAACATCACTGCCTGAAACCCCATACCCACATCTACAAACAACAACAGATCTTCTTAGCATGTTCCCTTTGCCATCATCTTTGATCCCAAACCCACATTCCATTCCCCTTTCTAACAACGCCTACCAGGAATCCTCAGCCTTCTTTACTTCATTAGGTCTCTTTGGGGACGATGTAACATCCCCAGATTCAACTGTTGTCCATCATCATGACGACTCTTCTATGTTTACCTCTTTACCTCAGGGAGCCTATGGCTTTGGTTGCTCAAGTGGTAGTAGCTCTCTGTTTGGTGAAATGGATGATAAATACCAGGTACTGGATTATGGTTCTTTCCACCAAGGCATTGACGGAAGTGGTTTTGTTCACACAGGCTTTGAGTTTAATGCTATCATGGAAGGTTTGGGCAAAAAGAGAGGCAGTGATAATAGTAAAGACGCTAAGCATTTTGCCTTGGAGAAGCAAAGGAGAGTCCAATTCAAGGACAAGTTCCAAGCCTTAAGGAAGTTGATTCCTAATCCCACAAAGGTATTCTTATGCTCCCTTATTGTACATGGACGTTACATAGCACTGCACCCCCCCCCCCCCCCCCCCCACCACCTTCAACGGTTTCTGTACAAATGAAAAGTAATAGTAATAGTATGGCAGTAGGAAGTAGTAACAGCAGAATAGTAGCAAAATCCATCCATGTCACACGAAACAACGATTGCTATTAGAGGCGTTGTTGCAGATGGTAGCTACTATATACTATCCCGTTGAAGGTCGGATGCTAGGGTGTTGCACCTCCTCTCACGGTGGGTGCTACTGTCCTGCATCCCACTGCCATGATCAGAGATAGCTGTAATAAGATTACAAATGTGGTGGTGGGGGGGGGGGGGTAAGTGAGAATAGATTCCTCATTTTTAATATGTATCTTTCTCTACTTAAAATCATGTATACTTCCTCCAATCTTATTTTTGTATGATTATGTAGCAGAAGGCATTATTTATATGTATTTGTCCCTACTTGAGAATCTTGCGTCCATCATTTGCCATCCTTATTTCTAAAATTTTATTGTAGGATCTATAATTTCCAATTTATTGGAGCAACTTGTTAATCACCATTTGATCAGAGTATTCTTATAGTTCAAATCTATATAAGCTAAAGTATGTTTTTTAATTAAAATTTGGATCTAATTTATGTTTGATGACAAAACTGTATTAGTAGAAGTATTTGTTTCAATTTTGTTGCAAAGAATCACAGTACAACAACATTACCCTACTACTAGTAGGGGGGTCGGATGTACGTCAGTCTTACCCTTGTACCGAAGCACAGAGAGACTCTTTTAGGATGACCATGATGAAAACCATATCGAAAATTGCATTGACCGGCTGTTGTCTCATAACAAAGAAGCGTTGACAGTTTAATTGACCATTTTTCTTTATTCCATCCTATTTTAAGCCAAAAAATAGTGAGTTTTTGGTTCCATTGGAAATGATAGAAATAAAGAATCACATGACAGTTTTGAAAAATTTGGCTGCTTGGCTAATGACATTAACATTTTTGTAAATGAAGAATGATAGGGCATCAATTGTGGGGGATGCTATTGTCTACATAAATGACCTCAGGAACAGAGTGGCAAAGCTTGAGGCTGTTATAGAGAAGAAGAGAAGCATCAGGGAGAAGATGCAGAGGCAGATCACATCAGATGGGAAGCCTGAGGATGATATGGACCAACCTTACAATGTCAATATTGGATCATCTTCAATGAGATCCAGTTTCTGGTTCCAGAAAAAATCCAAGAATGCAGAAGTCGATGTTCGTGTAATGGCAGGCGAAGTTACAGTGAAAATTGTCCAGCAGAAGGGGAGCAACTGCCTTCTCCCAGTTTCAGGTGTTCTTGATGAGCTCCACCTTGATCTGCACCATATTGCTGGAGGGATAATTGGCGACCACTATAAATTCCTGTTCAACTACAAGGTTTGCATGTTATTCATGCACCATTTTTTAAGTTCTCCATCTAACGTAAAGTTCTTATTTTGACTTTTACCCGATCTCATTAACTCTTATAACTACGTACTCCCTCACTCCCATTTTATTTAGGCAAACTTTTACATCTAACTTTTATTGATTATATGTTTATATAAAGAAAATATTAATAATATGAAAATGATATGAAAATGTTCTTTGTTAAAAATACTATCATAAAAGTATAAAATTATTAAATTTTGCATAAATATATTAGTTTAAATAATTGGTCAAAGTTTACCACCTTTGACTGGAAAAGTCAAAGATGACTAAGTAAATTGGGACGGAAGGAGTATGTTATAAAACTTAATTCTATTAATGTATATTAAAACAAGGGAAATTTACTATTAACCCCCTGATTTTATGTCATAATTATTAATGCAAACTTGCATTTTCAAAAATCAAATACTTACCCCCTGAGTTTGGATCATTCTCATTCTTTGCCCCCCACGTTAATATTTGTTAAATTTAATTTAATATAATTCTTAAATTCAATGAAAAATGTCTATAAAATTAATTTTTAATGTAAAATACAAATTAGATCATAATTATAAGTCATTGTTGTTGATCATAGTTAATACAAAATTTAAATAAATTAAAATGTATGATATTTTAGGTTTTAGATTGATATTTTCAATTATTAAGATCATGGAATGATTGGAATAATCATCACATATTTTGTCATTTAGGTCCCTTATTGATATTAAACATATATTTTAGGTCATGGAATGATAAAAAAATCTTGGTATTTCTTCTTTGCTACACACGAAAGAGTTTAAGAGGTATACTAAATTTAATTTGACAAATAGTAACGTAAGGGGGCATATAGTGAGAATGATCAAAACTTAGGGGGTAACTAATTAATTTTTGAAAATGCAAAGTTGCATTAATAATTATGATATGACCTCATGGGGCTAATAATAATTTTGACTCCAAAAGTGAAAGTAGGAATTTAGATTTTGGGATGGAGGGGAATGGGTAAAATAAATGGTTTCTTGTTTTACCCTCTTGCAGATCTTTGAAGGTACCACATTATATGCTAGTTCCATAGCCAACAAGCTCATTGAGGCTGTGGAGAAATCAGTACACACCCATAGCTAATGAAATGATGTCCTATAATATATATAACTTCGATCAGGTAATTAGATTATAGAATGGGTTTCAAATGCATCCTCTAAATTTGTAATTAGAGTGTGCTTTTGGAATCGTTCTTAATTAACTATTCTCCATGACCTACAGACTGATGAATTTATGGCCTTGTTTCTTGATTGCAGATTTTTCTGGAAAAGCATCAACCTTCATTTACCATGGCGGAAAAAGATAGGATGCTTTTCTTATTCTTGTTACAGGCATATCTAAGAGGGTGAATTTGTATAAGTGAATCAAGAGATCTTTTTTAATTTAAACTGCATCACATTTCATCACTACCCTTGCCTAATTATATCAATCCAACAGATATTATCCATCAGACATGACGTAATTGCAATAAACTTCGGATGGCCTAACCAACGCGTTGGATTAACTAAAACCACTTTTTTGCAAATCAGCCCGCTAATACCACTGGTACAACATGATATCATCCATCATTCAAAATTCTAGCAAAAGTCGATTAACTGATTGACTTTCACAAATTTCAAATGGTTAAATGAGTGCGAACAAAATATTGTTTCCTATAATAATGTAATATTTAAGGATTATTCTGTAATATTTCATAACTCTATTTTATTATACATATACGGCTAAAACACTCAATAGGGTAAGCCATTATTCTCTAATTACACTTTTCGTATATGGTATCAGTCGTCTAGGTTTTATTTCATCTCTCACATATGGCCGACAATAACAGCACCACCGCCTCCCATCAGGCGCCCTCCACGCAGGTGCGGCCGCTCTCCGGTTTTCAAGTCTCTCAGGCTCCCTCAATTCAGGTGCAACCCTCGACCGGTGTCGTTCCCCAGCCTCTCCAGCACGACCTTCTCCCTTCACTCCGGTTCGAGCAGTGCGACTCCGTCCCCAGGAACATCGCGTATGACGGAAGCAGCCCAGCCAACGTGGTCCCCACTTGCTCCGTCTCTCCATCAACGTCTTGGAGATTCACAGAATATTGATCCATATCGCCTGTTTGGAATGCCGCCCCCATTCACATGGACACCGACAACAACCATGCCTCTGCCGCCAGTTCTGACATCGGTCCCGGATGGTGGTCTCTCCTCGCTGCCCTACGCTGGTTCCACTTTTATCACGCAGCTAGTTTCGAGTTCTCTGTTGCACGCACCCACCTCGGCCGACTCGGGTAATCTCCCCCCCCCCACAACTCCTTTATCTAATTTGGCATCACAATTGGCGTTCTCCACGCCAAATGTGACTAATATTGTCACCACCCGACTGTCCGCTGTTGAGGATTACTTACCATGGCGAACCCAATTTGAGTCCTTCCTTGTATCCCACAGTCTTCTTTGGATTGTGGATGGTTCCATTCGGGTCTCGACCACCATGGACCCGGACTATCCTCATTGGTTGAAGTTAGACCAAACGGTTAGGTCTTGGATTTTTGCTACTCTTGCTAGAGATATATTGATGGAGGTATATGACCTAAAATTTTCTCATCTTATTTGGGCACGTCTTGAGACCCATTTTATGTCTGCCTGTTTTGCTCGGTCTGTTGAACTTAAACGTTCGTTGTCCCATATCAAAAAGAAAGTCACAAAACATGGATCAATATTTGTTAGAAATTAAACTGATGGCTGATGCACTTACTATGATAAATTCTCCTGTTACTAATCGTGAGTTGATGGAATATGCTATATTGGGTTTGGGCCGTTAATATGAATCCCTTATCAACACCATCTCATATTTTCCGGGGAATACTACACTTGAGACCCTTCGGCCCATCCTGCAAGCACAAGAGCAAAGACATGCTACCGCCCCATCCCAAGATACTTCCACGGTCCACCAGGCTTTCGCAGCGGCTCCAGCTCCTCATGGCCGAGGGCCTACTCCTCGTGGATATGGCGCAGGGGCACCATGGGGACACGGTGGTCGCAGACGCGGCGGCCGAGGCTACCCTCAGCAGCATCAACAATTTTTTGGGGGTTATCCGGTGTATGGGGCACCCTACGAGCAGCCGGCTCCCTCACGTGGACCTCCATATTCTGGCAGCACAGGCTCGGTATTTGATAATGTTAGTTCTGGTTTTGGTTTTACTAATCACCTTCCTACTTGTGTTACTTATAATGTTAGTGCATGTTTTCCTTCTGCTGAGAATTCCTATCCATCTCCTGCTCCACCTGTTGTCTGTCAGCTGTGTTTCTCTCCAGGTCACTCCGCACTTACCTGCTCCCGCTTTACTCCTCAAAACACTCCGGCTCTTGCGGCTCAACCCACTTGTGAGACGCATGATTCGGTCTGGTATCCTGATTCTGGGGCTTCCGTGCACATGACTCCTCATGAAGGTATTTTATCTTCTAAATTTCCTTATGCTGGCCCGAATCAAGTATGTGTTGCTAATGGTACCAAATTACCTATTTCTAATATTGGTCATGTTAAATTAATCACATATGGCCGCCCGCTACATCTTAAATCTGTTTATCATGTCCCACACATTAAATACAATTTACTTTCTATACAAAAGTTGTGTGCGGATAATGCCTGTCAAGTAATTTTTGATAAAAATTCTTTTTCTGTTAAGGACAATCAAACGGGGGAGCTTCTTCTTCAGGCCACTAATAAAGATCATGTCTATCCTTTTACCGCTTTCCAAGCCCGAGTTGTACTTGGTCCAGTCTGGCACAAGCGTCTAGGACATTGTGGTGATAGAGTTCTTTGTACTCTTAGGCAGAATAAATTAATAACTAGTTCATCAGTTTTTACTCATGATTGTGTTTCGTGTAAGTTGGGCAAGTCCCACAGACTTCCTTTCAATGATGTTATTCATGACACTTCTGCTCCTTTGGAAATTATTCATTCGGATGTTTGGCAATCTCCAGTTATGTCCAATCTTAATTGGTTTTAAATATTATGTGTCATTTATTGATGATTTTTCTAGATATACCTGGCTTTACCCCATGCGTAGGAAATCTGAAGTTTTTACATATTTTATTCATTTTCAAAAACTGGTTGAAAATCTTTTAAATGCAAAAATTAAAATTTTTCAATGTGACGGAGGGGGTGAGTTTGATAATTCTCTTTTTAACATGCACTTTATGAATTCAGGCATTTTATTTAGAAAATCTTGTCCCCACACTCCGGCTCAAAATGGGGTCGCTGAATGCAAACACAATCATTTACTCGAATTAACTAGGACTTTATTGATTGATTCTTCTATTCCTAGTCACTTCTGAGAGATGCTTTGTACACTGCCACATTCATTATAAATCGTTTGCCTACCCCTGTTTTGCATGACCTCTCTCCATATCAAAAACTTTTTAATAAATTGCCAGATTATAATTTTATGCGTGTTTTTGGTTGCTCTTGTTTTCCTAATTTTATTGTTGCCTCCACCAATAAGCTCTCACCGCGTTCTACACACTGTGTCTTTCTTGGGTATGCTCCGGGTTATAAAGGGTATAGATGCCTATCTCCTTCCACGGGTCGGGTATATGTTAGTCAGGATGTTCTTTTCCATGAAAATATCTTTCCTTATCCCTCCTTAGTGGCCACTTCTTCTCCCACATCTACCCTGCCTTCCTCTTGGCTTTCCTCTTCGGTCGTTGATCCCTATCCGGCAACCGAGGTCCAAACAGCCCTACCTCTACCCTCCACACCGCCCTACCCCACTTCACCACCGCACTCCCCGCATCCTCCACCGTCTCCCACCACACCGTCTCACAAATTTCAAATGGTTAAATGAGTGCGAACAAAATATTGTTTCCTATACTTGGGACTCGAAATATATCGATAACAATAGTTATACTACCGTTTATATGTTTTCCCACTGAAAGTTACTAGTTCTAACTCTGTTCATAGACATTCAGATATAAGTTTGTGGCAACTTTTAGTACAACTTGCGCGTCGAAACTTAGTTGTTCATGCAACAGCGACGACCATCCTGGTAAGAAAAACTTGTCACCACGACCCCTTTTTAGGATGAAATGTAAATTTATAATAACACCCAAAGAAATATATATATCAAAAAGGTTCTAGATCTCCTAAACCCCCCCCCCTACCTAGTGTACGGGTTAGGAGAGGTTTTTGTTCGATCTAATCAAAATCAAAATGGGGCCTGACATTCATGTAAATTACATATTTATTTCTGTGTTTTTAATTAGTTTTGATTGATTATTACTTTGGAAATTACACACTTTTGGTGTAATAGTTTAAGTTGTAAAAATGTTTATAATTTGTTTAGATTAGGTTTATACTGAGCTCAAACAGGTCCAAGATCACTCTAGGGACCATTGGTGAACATCACAAATGGAAGGAAGGTGCAAAAATATCAAGATTCTGATTTTTGGTGTTGTACCCGGTCGGGTATGACCTATACCCGATCGGGTACCTTGTTGAAAAATCAAATCGGATCGGATCCGGGACAAGGCAACATGCATGAGAGATTTTGGCACGATCGAGTGTTCATACCCGATCGGGTGACCGACATACCCGATCGGGTATAACCCAGTTTTTTATACTTCCGCGAAGCAACCAAGTACCCGATCGAGTGCCCTTACAGCCCGATCGGGTACAAGACCCTGCAAGCCTAAAAAGCCTATAAATACCCCCCCCCCCCCCCCCCCCCCCTTCCTTCCCACAAAGAGAACCAATTCCTATATACTTCTAAGCTCAGTCTAGAATAGTTCTTTCTTTATATTTTCTTCATGTTTAGTCTCCAAATGAGGAGCTAAACTCTTCCATCTTGGTTTTGCTACTTTGAAGCTTAATGAATTTGTAAGTTGTGAGTTATTCTCTTTAATTTTCTTCCTTGAATATTAATTCTTCCTTTAAATACTATTTCTATATCAATGTTGGGGAGTGTTACTAAGATGACAATTAGTTAACATCTTGACATTAGTTATAGAAATAGTTATTTCTTCCTATATGTTAATATTGGGGAGTGTTACTAAGATGACAATTAGTTAACATCTTGATATTAACTATAGTAGGATTCATACTCTTTAATATTCTTCCTTGAGTATTAATTAATTCCTATTCATATTTCATATTAATATTTTGAACATTACTTAAAGGATCAACTAGTTTTGTTTCATATATTAATTATTACTAGAATCAATCGATTAATACGCTTGTTATTAATTTGGTCCCTTCAACGGTAGTAAACTTGGATTGTTAATGCATGCGTCTCATGACTAATAATCTAAGGGGAATTAATTATATTGATTAAATCAATAAACCGCTTGTGTTGAGGTTATCAATCTCAATCGTTTTCATCTCAAGTTTATTGCTACTATCGTGTTAATATACGGTGCGCGTTCTA